ATTCTAAAAGAAACATAACAATATTGTTTTATGTACTTTCACTTTTCACGTATAGTATAACTACTCTTTAAGATTAAGTACTGTGTATCTCAAAAACCAGAGCTAATGAAAATTTTTCATTGTTATTTTCGTTTTTATCACCCCAAAATTAGTAGAAATTGACTAATTTAGTGTAGGAAACATTCAAAAAATATTTTATGTTGTGTTGTGAATCGTACTCGACGTAAGCACTAATGTGCTATTGTGAAGTGTAATAATGTGATCATGCCACGAGGAAGCTGTCTTGAGACGCTTTCGTTTCTTCGCTATGACACTGTCTCTAAACTTTTCTCGGGCTCCGTACTATAAAATCCCGACCCGAATCATAAAATCACAACTATTCGCGCCATACCATCATTCAACCCCATTTCCAATTGATTAGTAGGTCACTGTCAATAATGAATAATCGCAAGCGGGGAATATGACAGGAGATATAGTCCGGCCGGCAATCAAGTTTCCATAATGGATGCGGGCGAGGGGCTGTCGAAAGAGGACCGATAACGGGATGTCGGGGTTCGGTGAACATCGAGATCGTTTCCTCTCCAGGATATGGGTTGGGGTTGCTGCATATTAATCTCCTACTCGTGATCAGTCAGTTTAATGATACGTCGGCAATTTACGGGCAAGCTTTCGGAAGATGTTGGAAGCCACATGGAGCCCTGACTGTTGCCTATTGGATCCGTAACTGGATGTATATTTTTGTCAAAGTTATACAGGGTGATCCTTAATGATATGAGAATCTTCAAAGAGGCCAATTTACATGACTAAATAATGATAATTTGCTATATAAACTATGGTACAAAAATGTCCCGTTACGACAATACGAGATACGAGGTCACAGCATAGGTAACAACCAGCATGGACACTAGGATAAAAATTTATATTTTTCAATAAAAATTAGTTTTCAACAGTGCCATTAATACGGGACCTGTCTTTGAAATTTTTGAGGAAATGAAAGATCTAACTTCATATCCCTACTCTCTTCGATGAAGAGTCCCGACACCTTAATAAATGTCTTAGGTCTTAGTGGTATATTATCTTTATGGATTTTTGGCATATAGACGTGGCATGTAGATTCGTTTTTCTCGACTGAGTCTTTTATATGTCCTTGGAGCATCTATCATATGACCATCATCTTAATCACTCATTGATGAAAAAAATAACTTAGTAGTTCAATACAAATTCCGGTGTGACGCTATGAAAAATGATCACAACAATTTTTATAAGTCATTTGGTGTTGGACTCTAGTAAAAGTGGCAAATCCAAGTATATATAAACAGAAAAATCTGCTTCAGCAGTAGCACCTGTAAATAGTATTTGCGATAAACGAAATAGTAAAAACATCCGCCTACGCTGAGAGGCTGTAGAGGCTATAGAATAGTCAGCTGACGCATGACTGACGGTCACTTCACGGTCAGCGCTTGGCTATATATTCACCAACACATTTCAGTGTAATGATTCGTAATTATTTGAAAATTATTTACCAAATCGTTGAATTGGCCGGGCCACCGAGGCCTCCAGACCTTGAAATACGTATGAAAATCCGTTCAGACAGCCAGATAGGGAACTTTAGTTTATAATTTCTATAAGTTTATATATAATATCAACTAAATACAACAAATGCCCCACAATGCTAGATGCCATGCAGACGGTTCTCCGTCAATCTCCTCACGCCAAATACAGGACCTGGGAACGAGAGATGAACACAGCGTTTCCAGTTTCAGTGTGATGACATTCAATCCGGACCCAGTTAACGCTGTCAGGCAACAAAAATCTTCCATACTGCGTAGAATACACAGACATCAGGGATATAAATTGGTTTCCTAACAAAACATTCCCCGAAAACATGGGAGGGAAATTAATCATCTGTTTCTTTCGGGTCATCTTTGCAAACGCTGATTATATAAATGGCGCGTGGATTCTGCGACAGAACACTAAAGCTGGGCCATTAATTACAGGACATTGTGCGTTGGAAACGCAAGTCACTGATTTATTGAATTACTTTTAGAATAATAGCTTTAGGAGGACGGTAATCCGATAAACTCTTGAATTACTTCTCAGAGTGAAGTATTATGAGCAATAATGCCTTCCTGGGGTTGAAACAATAAGGAATCAGTTGGTTTTATGGAGCTGTAGAAATCAAATGATAGTACCTGAAAAATGAAACATATTGTTGACTTCAATGTTTTTGATGTTCAACTGAATATATACTATAACCGTACGAAGTTTTGGGCAAGCATCACTGTTTTCGCTATAGATATATATATATTCATTCCATTCAATTAGTCAGGTCGATTCTATTACGAATTGGGGCCTGATCCTTTGAGTTCGATGGATATCTTTCGAATACATTTGCCATCAACGCTGGTGTTCCCCATATATCCATATTTTCTCCGACTCTCCTTTTAATGTATCAACGACTTATTGAAAAACAAGAATTCCAGAACATTGGTTTTTCCCATTTTCTTTTTAATGGAGTAATAATTACTATTCTTTCGAATATTTTAGAATTCGGTTTTCAATCAGATACTCCCCTACTAGAGAGGTGATAAATATATAGTTATGCAGAATTTTTGCTCGAAACACTGACTTAGAGGAATTTTCCCAATTTTTTTCTAATTTTTGTCCACTTTTTCGCAGGTTACTTTCAACATGTCCGGCGTTAAAATGGAAATGATGGCGGAATGAAAGAAAACCTCTTCATCCTAGTTCTACTCATCTCTACAAATGCAGAAAACCCTCAAGATGACCACTGCAAGAGCAGATTTCTTTCTAACTCAACCGTTCCAACCAGACTGAACCTCATCCCCGCGCAAATAGCCCAAAGTATCCAACAAAACATCAACCAACACCACGGCAATTTTTCCGAAATCTCCAGACAGACCCTCTTGCAACATAACGAAATTCTAGGCGTGATTCTAACCTCAAAATCCCAACACGCCCTCGCCCTTAACGTGTCAAAAAGACTAAAAATATTCCCCAACAGAACCGCAGAAACGGAGAAGTTTTGGACATCCTTGGAGATGGCTAAAAGCGGATGGGGAAGAGCCTTCAAGGACTGCGACTTTCTTCACAGTTGGGTTTACGTCTACGTTTCAAAATCTTCTTCTTCCACTGTCGGGTTGTTTTTGAAAATCGATTTGAACCAGTGCGACAAGGAGTTGGAGGAAATCTTCAATGGGAGCCACATATGTCATGAAGAGACGATGGAGGTGAGTACGGTGGCTAAAGTATGAGTATTCAGACCCGTTATTTGATCGAAATTATTAACACCGTACATGACAATGGAACAATTTTTACATTTATGAGTTTACTAGAGACGCATTTCGCTACACAGTAGCTTCCTCAGTCGAACTGGCACAAATAACTATTCTACAATGTATTTTATACAACAGTGTGCGTGAAGGGATTGTCTAAATTATTTTCATAGCTAGGTTGGTACAACTGGCCACTTCATTAAGTGCTCTGTTCATATGTTATGATTTCGAATTATTGTTTTTGCTACTTTAACATGTATATTTCTTGGAAAAATAAATCGTTATTTATATTATTGAAACTTGAAACGCAATTAATCTCAAGGGACCTAATACCAAACCTCAGACATGTATCAAAGCAAAGCAGGGACTGTCAAAACTAATATTGCCCAGCTGAACGTTTTCCCCATTTCCAGTTAGCCTCGGGCTGAGCCTTAAAAAACTTCCTATCTCGTCCAATATTTGTCTTCCCGAACCGGTATATTAAATTCGTGTTTACACACATGCGGCCATTTTCAATGGTAGCCCAGAACTTCCACAATGACATTTGGTTGAGATCGAAATTGTGAAATGCTCGTTCTCTGTTAGATGAAAGGATACGTTATTATTGTTGACATCAAAAAACAATCGGATTTTTGAAAGATCTTTCAGAAATAGATGAACTCTGTGAAATACTTATGTACATGCTAGAAATCGTGCGTTAAAAAGTAAGACATCTTTAATCCATAACTTCAACTTTCATCTTCTGGTTCATAACAAATCATATTCCAACAGATATTTAACATTCAGCCTGAACTATTGATTTTCAGTGGAGCAATTTATGCATGGAAACCACAGAACATTTAGGTGTTCTGTAACAAATATTTGTAGTTCAATTTCCACTCCGGAAAGTCAACTATTCGTAGTGGAAATGTAAATTGCTTTCACACAAGGGAACAACACTGTCAATTCTGGAAACTTCATAAGTATTATGAATGATTTCTTCATGATTTGAAGTAATTGTTGTTGAGATGAATTACTTGATTATTATGATTTTCGTGTATTCTAGTAAAAGCGTATGATTGGTAGATATCAACTGTTTTGTAATTCACATGTGGTATCAATGAAGTGTTAACAATTTGGAAATGAAATGGAAGAGTGGGCGTTAAAGAAAAAACATGGCTGTCATACAGGGTGTCTCTTCGTTCAAGAAAAAAACATGTACGGGGTGTTTCAAATACGTCAGAGTGGAAAATAATGATATAATAATAATAATAATGAATGAAAAATCGGATTGAAGAAAAAACATGGCCACGGGCGTTAAAGAAAAAACATGTCTATTATTGTATTGCAGGATTCCTCTATAGATTGGTGTATCTTGATTTTTCTTTGTTCTCATGTATATTTGTTTCAGTCTTTCAGCATTTCTTGTATTCTGATTATGTGTATCTCCTACTGTTTCCATGGTTGTATTACATAAAATGTATTTATTCAAGATTCCACGTATAAGTTTAACTTGTTCAAGTGTAAAAGATACAGTATACGTCCGTACCAATTTTCAGATCAATCTGTCAACAGGAAGGGGGTTAAATACTAAGTGTGACACAAACAAACAAACACACAAACAAGGCAAGCTAAATACAATCGTTTGAAAAATTGCTCATCGAATGTATGTAGCCCACTAAATTTGACCATCACCTCGTTTCTTGAACAGACCTTTGTGATTGAATTCCATCAAATGAATGGATTGATGAATGAACCTTCAAAACAATCAAAAACTCGCAGCAATCACTTTACAGATCGTCCTCTTAACACAAGGCCGTAAAGCTTTTTAGCTTGTCACTCGGAGTCGGAACTTTTACATCACTTTGAATCCCAACCGGGAGTTACCCAAAACCCACACCGGGAATTACGAATTCCTGTCCGACACTCGATCGGAACAAACGCCGCCAAAAGTGCGGAGTACAAAAACTTTTGACGTTCACAGCAATCGGCGTTTTCCCGCCCGTAACCATGGAAATGTGAGGTCGATTTGCGCAGCGTTTTTCATCATTATCTATCAAATGAATCTACTCGATGCTCATTCCAGCCTTCTATGCGTCGATCACGTCGCACACGTCTCTTTCCCACTCACTACCGTAAGTACGTCCCCTAGGAAATACGCTCCAAAACTCTTGTATCCCATCTACTAGCGACGGACTGTAGCTGCTCATCGTTTTGATGCTCAAACGTGATGACGGGACGACTTAGAGACATAGAGAATTTGTACAAAATTCTCATCTACATCCATCGTTGAAAATGGGAAATCCAACAAGGATATTCCTAATGGTTAATTTTTTAGACGGGTGAAATTCTTAGCGCAACGGATTATCCTTCTCACGCCCCGACGACCACTATTACTAGAAACTCCATCACGACCAGTGGCGGCTCGTCAGAGGAGGCAAGGGAGGCTTAGCCTCCCCATAAAATTTGAGGCTATTCATCGCAATAATATGTCAAAGATGGTAATGTGGTAGAACGTTTTATGGGTTTTCATGATGTTTCATCTGGGCGCACAGCTGACGATTTGTTTAATTTTTTAATTTTGTACGTGTGACACCTATAATTTTAGGCAAAAGTTATTTGCGCAAACCTATGATGGGGCTGAGGTCATGGCCGGCCATTTGAATGGTTTACAAACTAAAATAAAGTCCATAGCTCCTCATACACTTTTTATGCATTGTCATGCCCATGCCCCAATTTTAGTATTAAGCAAAGCGTGCAACAACATAAACATTTTCGCGCCTCCGGCGGGCTTTTCTGTGTGTATATAGTTCATATGACTTAAGCCTCCCCTGTTCTCCAATGCACGAGCCGTCACTGATCACGACATCCCGTTGTAAGCCACCACCCCGGCGTGTTTCATAACGAAATAGACGAAATCTCATTCCGAAAATTTCACGGGCGCCCGACTCCGAAACAAAATTCTAGTAGGAAACTCCTGAAAATCTAATTTCAAACTCGATCTGTCCCATTAGCGAACCCCCACGTCAACGAACGCGACGTCAAACAGATCACAACTCATTTCTCTTTTCTTTTACAGTGTGTCCGCGATGGACCAGGGGACGAGGCGAGGGGAAGGTATCTGTGTATCTGTCGAAAGGGATTTTATTCTGGTCTCGGCTCGAATTTGTCTTCGCCTGGTCTCTATGGAGAAGTCGTCAGGAAGGAGGAGGTAATCGATCTGCCTCGGTGAGTCGTACATTTCATTATAGTCTATTTTCTCGAGCAGCGAAGTAATAAATCATTTTCAAATGTTTGTGCAGTTTTATGAGTGAATATAATTTTGGCATTTGGGGGTTCATCAATGTTAATTTGAACTTTTCCCTTTCTGTAAAAAGTATGTTAGATAACAACTCATTTCTCTTTTCTTTTACAGTGCGTCCGCGACGGACCAGGGGACGAGGAGAGGGGAAGGTATCTGTGTATCTGTCGGAAGGGATTTTATTCTGGCCTCGGCTCGAATTTGTCTTCGCCTGGTCTCTATGGAGAAGCCGTCAGGAAGGAGGAGGTAATCGATCTGCCTCGGTGAGTCGTACATTTCATTATAGTCTATTTTCTCGAGCAGCGAAGTAATAAATCATTTTCAAGTAGCTGTTCCATGGGCGTACATAAGTAAAAAATGTAGTGTTTACTTCAAACATTTAATATTGTTAATATTTATAACAAAATTGAGTTTGTTATTCGAATGAATAATCAAAAAAAATAATAAAACTTCAAAATTAACATGGGGCGTTAACATATTTGTATCTCTTTCGGTACCAAGAAAACGAAAGAGGAATAATGCAATATATGTCAAACTGTATACCCCGATCAGAATCTACAGTTCATTCAGACTCCAATTCCCATTGGCATTCAACGAAAAGTAAACAGTAGCTTCGACTGAGTTTATTCCCCCATCATCGAGCAATATTTCTGGATGGATACATTCACCCTCGTTTCCATTTCCATGAATAACGTTATTATTCGATAGTAAAAAAGCCAACCGATATAATAGAATCGACGAAGGATTAATAACGAAATATGGGGCCTTATTGAAACAGGGATATTGCCAACGAGTTCCTGCGAATGGCCTTTGTGAATTCAGACAAATCAGGGTGTAATCTTATGCATAATGGATTATACGCGCTCCGAACCGGATCCGGTCCTGCAACGCCGGAATAAATATTGCAGGATTTTTCTCGCGGGGTCGTAGAAATGGGGATTGAAGCATAGGCAGAAAGGATCCTTCACTGACACCTATTGGATGTAATCTAACGCCCTCCATGTTATTATCCAGGAGAGTAGTTGTTTTCTCATAGATGTCAGTTCAAAAATAACAACAACAAATTCAATTGGCACACTTCCTTTCTCTCTATTCCTTAACGGACGTTGCTTTCCACACGGTCGCATTCGACCAAGCTCCTCCTGTTAATAATCAACAGGACTTTCGTTGTGGACGCAACGGTTTTGCTTCACGCAATGCTGCCACCACATTTACTTTCTCATACTTTTTTGTTTGGAAAAACCAATGAATATAAAAGTCACCTCTTCATCAAGATACCTGCTGGGTTTTTTCACATTAGCATACAATTCACATTTTTGAAAGTTGTCATAGAATTGAAGACCTCGTCGAATCCGTCAATATCCGGCCTGGTTACTGTCGTAAAGGGTCGCCCGCCCTCTCAATTTGTCTTTCATTTCGATATTTATGCAATGGGGAATGTTCCTCGATTTGGGTTATTACAGCAAATGCAAGTTTGAACAAAATAAAGTCGAGTTTAATTCATGAGTTTTTCAAATTCACTTCGAAAAGTATTCAATTTGAAGTTTCAAATGTTGGGTTTTAATTTTCAAAGGGATTTGTTTCTAATTCACATATGGACAACAGCGCCTATTGAAAGTTGAAATAATTCATACGTACCTAGATATTATCTACTTCAAAAAAAGAAAATCATCTTTATAAATCAACAATTAAGGCAAAATATAAATTATAGTTCAATACCACCTCCACAAGCCACATAAACAACAGTTGTTTTGTTAATTCAATTAATCTGCGTCACTTTCCGGTACCTGTGCCGAGAAGTGGCAGAGCTTTACCATGAATAGTCGGATCTCATCTCATCTGTGATTATTTTCATCCCGTAAATGTTCAATACACTCATTTATTTTTTTTTTTCGATATTATCGAAACGTTACTAGAACCAGTTTGTTCAGCTTTTCGAAAGAATCGACAAAATTAGAATCGTGAAATTAGAAACAGCTTTCGGCAAAGCTTTTCTGACAGCAGCGGCCAATAGTGAGCGAGGGTGTAAATTCAAAATTCCCGTGTTCGTCCAATCATATAGAGGTCAACAATGAATGGGGATCGGTAAACACATTAGCAGCGTGCTGTCATCCATTCGGCATGATAAATGAACAGCCACAATCGCAAACGTGGAATACAGAATTTGATGGATGTAACTTGGCGACATACAAAAAATCATTCAAACACATAAAAACTGATATAAGTAATTTATATATAAAATGAATATGTAGCAAACAATGTGAAGGATGAATTCTTCAATTGTCTGGGTTTATAGGCCTCCTTCATTATGATTCATGTGCAAGTAACAAAGCTATAACGCTTCTTAGCTTCAGAGGACTCTTCGGTAATCTTGGATCCCTTTACCTTTGATGTTCCTTCCGAAACGAATAGCTGAAGTCTCATTTGATACTTTGTAATCGATTTCCTAAAGGAGGGTCTTTTATTAAGCGCTTCCTTTCTTTAAATTCAAATGGAACATCGAAATTGTTTATTCGTTTGAAAGACCTATTGATACCATTATGTGTTGGTATCCACGTTGGTGTCCAAATCATCCAATTCAAGACGAAAGAAGTGGGTGATTATCAACCTATAGGTCTCACCGTTGACAGTGATGGCTCGGCCAACGTCGTTCTCAAAGAAATATGGACTGATGATGCTGCCAGCCCAAAATCCACACCCAACAGTGACTTTTCGGGATACATTGGATGCTCTTGGATCTCATGTGGATTGGTATCATCCCAAATTCGACAAGTTTGTCAGTTGCCAAACTGGCTGAATGGGCTCTACAGTCCATTCAGTGAACTCACGTTGTTGTCTATGGTCGTTTACCTTCAGTTCCTGTTTCAATTGGACTTTTTAAGGGTGCTGGCCCAAGTCACGAGCAAAATTAACCAAGTTGTGGTCTGCGAAAGGCCGAGTTCTTGTAAGCGAAATAGACTGCCTCAGATTCTCCTGCACACTCTCACAGACTGCGGTGATGTTTTCGGCAGATCTTTAATACACGTATGGGTGTTAGTTGATCGTTTACTCAACCAGTAGACTCAAATTCATCCACCACATTGCGAATAGTCCTGTCGGTAGAATTCCTATTTTGATAAAACAATTTTATTGTTTGCACATGTTTTTAAAGGTTATATCCGTCCATGGTGAATAAATGACAACTAATTTGACAGTTGAAGCTCCAACAAGATGGCCTTTATCAATTGTCAAAGTTCGGGCATCCCTGTTGAAAGACCCTACTCTTGTATATAGTCCAGTGTTTAGTATTACTACAGATGAGGCTACGATGTTAGCAAAACGCGTCTATATTTTTTTTTGTGAAAATGGTGAGTCCATAAATCTTTATATTCTCACATTGACGTCACAGTAACGTCTCCTCCAGTAAATACTTCCATTATTGTCCATTAATTGCGATTTTATGAGTTTGTTTTGTTTTTCCCAACTGGAAATTTAATTCTTTTGAAATTCTCCACAATAACTTTCCGCCTATCATTGGATTCATACTTTGTTCTTCTTTCAAGGCTCCCATTATTTTGTCGAGGGTCGGTATTTTTTCCTCAAAATTAAACGAACGGTTCTTTGTCATCTCTAGGAGATGAAGAACACTTTTCCAAGTTGACATCTTGAGGAGTTGCCAGGAGATGAAGATGCCAACTTGGTTGGTGAAACGGGCTCAGCAAGAGTATTGCACAAAAGCGCTTGTTTTGGAGTCATTCCTCGCCAGAAGTCCCAGTTGTACTTTTCTTTGGATTCAATGCTCTTTTTACCCTTCTTGGTCATGTTTTTTCTGTAGAAAACTATAATGCACCTCTGGCAGTTTCAAAAAAATGAGTTCAATTGATAATCTCCAGCTATTTTCATTGTACCACTGGTATTTCATCTGAAAATCCTCACATTCTACCAGGCAACCGCCTCCAAATGTCATATCTAATCGGGAACAACTGGCAACTTCCCGAGACATTCCAGAAGTTGGTCATGCCGCTCTGCAGCACTCCGGATATTAAAATTCCACCATTTACCCTTCATATCATTGTTTCAGATGTGTGCCTTGTCCCGAGGGGTGTCGACTCTGTGAGCCTTCCGGCATTTGCACGGCGCGAAAAGACGTCTACTTGAAAACCGCCGTCCTGTGTATACAACTGGCGAGTATGGCAATCACCCTCATCTTGGCGCTCGTTGTCTTCAAGCAGCGGAAAACTAAAGTAAACGCTTTTGTTGATACGTTTAATCAGTCTGTGTGGTACAGTGAGGAGGGAAAATTATATGGCAAATGTTTCAGGGGGTTGAGTTCGCTAAGAGCTAGCTGAGTTGGGGCATGTCTACCAACATGTATTGCAAAATTCTTAACATAACAAGAAGCGAACAAAAGTTGAACGATAAAGTATTTTATTATCTATGTATAAATCACTCTCACTTTACTGGATACACCAGAGGAGCTGCAACTACCTTTTAGACATTTTATTGATTGTGGAGTAGAGTAGAGCCTTCTATGTAGAAGTTCATCTATGACAAGTCACAAAGCTTTAAAAGCAATATGTAAAACAACAGGAGAGTGATCTCATAGTCATTTAATTTTTTTCCTGATACAAAGTAATGCCATCGAAATTGTTTGTAGGAAATCTTTATGATTGTGTGCCTCTTGAAGGACAACATTTCATACATTTATTTAAAGTATGAAGTGAGTTTAATTGCTTATTGAAAGGTAATGCCTCGTTAATCTTTGGCTCGCCCTAGTTTCCACTTTTTGGGGTTGTCGTTCCTAAGAGTTTTGAAGTGAAATCATTTTATTTTCTGCATTTTGTACGTACGTAATATATGTTTTTCAAAGCTCCGTAGCTTCTTAACGAGTACACAGATATTTAAAAGGAAAGCAACGATAAATAGGGATAGAAAACCCCTTCCAAACTTGTCTACAACTCCATTCTCATCCCCAAGTTCAACACATTGGCGGATAATACTCCCGGGTTGACGCACATTTGGAAATATTCAAATTGGTACGGTTTTTGCGGCACCAGTCATTTGAAGTGTTTAGCTGCTGTTGCAATGTAGGAGTACAGTCATATATATCGATACCAGAGGTGTTCAACTCCAAATCATCTGCAAACATTGATCTGTTGCTGTATAATGTGTTGCATTAATCATTTATGAAAAGTAATGGAACAAGATTAGATACTTGAGGGACTCCACTAGTGGCAGAATAAGTATTTGAAGAGAAACCATTACAGTATACATACTGCTTCCTTTGATATGATTTCAAAAGGTGAATATAGATTTCATTGTAACCTACAACAGAAAGTTTGTGAATGAGGATCGCATGACACATCTAATCGAACGCTTTAGAGAAGTCTGTGTACACCACATCAATCTGCCCCTTACCGGTTTCACTTTAAAACTGATCCAAATCAGCAAAATTACTGATTGTGACAAAATGGCTAAAACCCACCTTGTGACTACGTTACGTTAACAACGCCATCGTCATCTGTAAAGTGGAAGGGACGTTCTAAACCTTTTCCTAGACCACTTGAACGCTCTTAACACCTCAGCATCAAGTTCAACTAACCCACAAAGTGTATCGAATACCCACGCACACGGATAGATACCTGCACTCACTGTCAAACCAGACGAGCTCGAAGAATATGTGAATCAGAGTATTTCGAGAAAGAACTGTAACGGCCTTCAAACCCGAAAAATAGTGACAGGTGAATGCGATTGTACATAATCACCTTCAAGAGCTTTGTAAAGTTGCAGCGAACTGAAATCGGCCTATAGTTACTAATAACGTTACGATCCTGCGCTTTATGAATTGGAAAAACCTTAGAATTTTCCCAAGTTTCTGGAATTGTCACATTTCCTCCTCGTTGAATAATGAACTATTTCATCACCTCGAGAATTCTAAATTCCTGATAATCACGTAACGATATTGCGACACGACTTCCTTCTCCGAGAAATTACTACTTAGACTAATTGCTTCGAACTTGTTAAGTAACCCCGAACGGCAAATCATCTCCCGATCGATGTCAAGAAGGAACTTTTAATATCGTTGAGTGTTTTTTTGTTTTTATAATTCCCCTTCGCCGCACAGAGCGCGGAGGAAGTTTTCTCGCTTGTTAAGCAAATTTGAAGTTCGGGGGAACTTTCGAGACGGGGTGTTTAACTTTACGGAATGCACAACTTCAACTTTTGCAGTTATCGGGCGAGATGATCTTGGAGTTTTTGTGTTGTTTTTGCTTTAACTCGTCAGATACAAGATTTAAAAAAACAGTCGCAGTTGAGGAGGAACTCCCACCTCCATAAGAGTAATTGGAAATTCTCAGACTCTTTTAAAATATCGATTAGAATCACTTTTTTAGCTACATAACCTATATAAATACCCATCTCACTGAACTTTCAGAAGATAGTTTGTGTGTTGGACCCAAGTAGAACAGCTCTAAGGCAATTCCTCCCACACCATATGATTCTATTATTGACAACAGATCGGGATAAAATCAGAGTCGAAGGCCTAAGAGAGGTTGTCTATTGTATAAGTAACATTTTTTCTTCTCTTCTTTCAGTTATATTCTAATTGGATATTAGAGGTCAAAAAAAATTGAGGAAGCCTCTAAACATCTCGTTCACCTCCCTCAGTAGCTTGAAAATGCTACCGCTGAACATCTTAGCAGGATTGTCAGTGCTTGCAACAAATGCTGTGCTGTTGTGCTGATGCACGACTGGGTTGAACTATTCGAATTCAGATTGCAACTGGGCTTCCAAACTGCAACGAATGGTTATTGCTCCTCTATTCAGTTGTCACACTGAAATACCTTTTAAATCCCTAGTTTCATTGGAAAAAATTGAAAAAAATGATTCCTCGATTATCTTCATCCGTGTTTTCAAATGAGGTGGAGTATTTCCTTGGTGAAAATTTGCATAATGATTATTAGATTATTTTTCAGCCCCACATTGGGCGCCAAAATTTTAGAGGACTCGCTTGGATTGCGTTGTTATTTTCAAAATTAAGAAATAAATGAGATGTCTCAATATCAAGCAAGTTTGTGCCCTCTCAAAACGAGGTTTTTCCTCATAATTTTTTATTTTAACACTATTCAACTCGATAACAGATTCGAAACTAACAAACTCAAGCTCAATCATTCTCTTTCAGGTCGTGGTGAAATTTTTCGAACCGTCAATATTACAGTGTCTGCTGGAGCCCTGGTTTCGCGAGGTTGGCTTCGTCATCTGCTACGGGGCCATCATCCTGAAACTCTACAGACACTTGATCGAGTTCCGCACAAGGAAAGCTCACAGATGGGTTGTTAAAGACACGGACCTCCTCAAATACCTGCTTATCATGGTCATGTCGGTAAGTCTCGGAACTAGTTATCAAAGTTACGGGGTTATTATATAGGAGAGAAGTTGCGCAGCCAGTTCTAATTGTTGGACCCGTAGCTGCAGTCGAAGTTTATATTAGATCAGATAGATGATTCAATTACGTGAGAAACTCCGAGATATTCCTTTAAATGGCAGTTTGGTTTTCCTCTTGTTGTTGGAAGTTTCGATTCGATCAATAAAGCATTAGTTGGAATTGAATATTAGTTTCAACACGACACGGTTGGTCATGCTAAACTTATGGCGGTACTCGAAAATGTTGGAACTCGGGGTATTGCTCATAACTTCCTACGAAGTTATCCAAGCATTAAAAAACAGTGTGTTCACATAAATAGAACCGTAAATGATTACCATCCAATCATATATGGGTTGGCCACAAGGTACGGTCCTAGGACCACCACATGATTAGACAATTCTGAGAAGAACCATCGAGGGTTTTTTCATCAGAAAGTACTGAAAATTCTTTTCATACGAATTTTGTCCGACTTTCATTTATTGTTCACTGTATTTTCATCATTGACCTCTATCTTTCCTTTATTTTCAGGTACTAGGCTACATGGCTGCCTACACCTCTATAACCCTGAACTTCATGCAAGAGAACTACAGTTTGCTTTACATGGGACAGACGATAGATGGGGAAAGGTTTCAGGCCTGTAAGTATCTGTGGTGGGACTACGTAACCGAAACAGGTGAAATCATCATTCTGATATTCGGGATCCATCTCAGTTATGCGAGCAGAAACGCCAGAACCCAGTATCAGGTGAGTATATTTTGACACTCAATTGTTGGGTAGTACAGGGTATCCGGTAAATGCCAATCTTGGAATCGCAGTCCCCGTATGATGGCCTGTGAGGCTGCTTTGATGGTGTTTCTTGATCTGAAGCAGGTTCTGATGTTATACTTGGATCCAATTCTTCTCAATCAACTGACGTAGGGAAGGACAAGCACTGGTTGTGACGGCTTCTCTTCTCTGCGAGGCTCTTAATGTCTTCTAGCCAAAGTCTGTGCCACCATCACTTTGTATATTTTTTTTTATGATGAAACCTAGTTTTTTCTGAAGATTTCCTTTCGTAGAACAGAGCCCGAAAGCACGAACCACTAAAGTCTTGATGGTAGATTTATGGCAATTCGTTGTGGACTTCCTTCTCCATTGTGGAAGTGATGGAAAGTTTTACGCTGTTGAGATGCTTCAGAAAGGTGTCTAGTTCTATATTCTCATGGTTCCATATTAAGAAGGTGTCGTCAACGCATCTCAACCAGACTCGAGGCTTCTTATGTGCTCTCTTTCAATTGCCAGAGTTTCAAACCACTCCATTTATATACATACATCGGAAAAGTCTAGGGATATTTTTATAACATACTAAATATCACAAAAATAAATGCATGAGGTCGTTTAATTTCGATTAAATTGGTACANAAAATATCCCTAGACTTTTCCGATGTGTGTATTAACTATAACTGGTAAACGTGGCGATCCCATTAGCAATCCGTCATCTTGCGTAAAGAATTCGGCCTTCAGTTGGGAATAGCAGTTCCGTGCACAGCAGCCTAGTAATTCCATGATTACTTCTATAGGTGAGGTCTTTCTATCTTCCAGGTCCTGGTCTTCGGATAGCTTCCAAATAAGATTTGAAGTGCTTCTTCGATAGGAATGACGAAACTAATTAATTGATATTGTTCTGTGACTTCGATTGTCGTAGCTGGATCTCTGGATGTTAGCGATGTTAGCGATATTAGCATTCGATTATTTTTAAGACATTGTTGTTTCCATCAATTTTTGATGGAATTTTATTATATGTATATGTCGATATACATATACTATATGTATGTGTCGATTTTCCATTTCTTCATTTCAAAATCATGTCATAATCACTCAGTGGAAAACCTGCCGAAATATTTTCCTACACGGTGCTTGTGCATGGAGGTCTCCAACAATATCGATTTTGAAATGGGCCCGAGTTATTTCAGATGCATTCACTATGAAAACATATCTGAATACGAATTGCTAGACGAATTGCCGTTTTGGAAATCCTCATTACCAGCGTATAATAGAATACAAACAAGACACTGCTTTGCCAACACACCGGAAATTTTGCGGTTGTGCAAACTCAAATTTCGTTTTGTATCACAAGCAAATTATGATAATTACTGTTCTCAGTTTATAAGGAAATTTAACGCGAAGAGACAAGTTCAGAAGAGAGTCTTCAAAGAACGTGCCCCAACAACTCAGGATTGGATTATCTCGACAAAGAAAATATTAATCGAGGGGAGTTCCTAACAGAAAAGTTAACGTTTGTTATTGAATTATGTTCATTATTTATGCGGATCACAAAATTGATATTATTTGTCAAGTTTTTTCAAAAATGTTGGGGGACTATTTATATTTCGGAATCTGGCAATGATGTCAATAGGCAATATGTGGCTATACCATAACAAAGTTTGACATTTTTTAGCATAAACGTTTTGATGTACAAGCGCTATTTGTTTTGTTTACACACAACTTTTGTTGTGGATTATCTCTACATGAACGGGACGTCCCTGAGAACGACGAGGTGGTGACTGACCAACGATTATGGACATACAGGATTGCTTACTAACATATATCGCCACGTTAAACAAGCGCGGAACAGATGTGACGTAACACTGTTGACACTTTTGGTAGCTGCCATAAGACTGTGTGTTATTTTAAGATTTTTTGAGGATTATTTTCAGACAGTATTACATTGTTTTTGTTTATTTTGGTTAAAAAACATTTTGATCATTATACATATGAAAAAAAAACTAACAATAAGACACCAATAGATGAGAGACTATACCCCAAAAAAGTGAATGTTTATCAATCAAATCATCTAAATGAACAATTCGTTTAGGCCAGTCGCAACCCACTACATTGCAGGTTAATGGACTGACATCTATCAGAAAATAACTGGATTATATCTGACAGGTATTCCCTTCGTGGTATTAGCCAGGGGAATAGTTGTTTTCTGATAGGTGTCAGTCCATTAACCTACAATGTAGAGACGTGAGACTGGCCTGAACGAATTGTTCCTTCAGATTATTTGATTTCTAGCCAGTCTTCAAGTATGCCCACTGACTATATGTGCCTGTCCGCACGTTTCACAAATTACCTCCAAAAATCAAATGAATAGAGTTTCGAAGTTCTGCCTCACACACCTTACTCCATAGACATATCGCCAATCGACTACCGAATTCTCAAACATTTCGAAAACTTTCTAACCGGTAGAATCTTCGCCAATCAGGACAAGGCAAAAACGGCCTTTGTCGACTTCATCATATCCCGAACAAACAATTTTTATGCTGACGGAGTTGATCCACAAAAAAAATAACTTAGTATCAATCCATTTATATTAAGTATTCAATTCTATATAAAAATAATATTTTAATAAGGGATTTACATGAATTTTGTTTATTTTAATTTAAAAGTGCAGTACCGAATCAATCCAGAGTCACCTCTGTTACGTCACGAGATTACATGACGTGTCTAACAAAATCGCAAAAGTAAGCAATCCTGTATGTTCAAAATCGTTGGTGACTGACCGCAAGCCATCTATTAGGTCCATCTTCTCCCCAATTACCGTCAAAGAAGTCGACAAGATAAAGAACATCTGGCCAACCTCCCCCCTGGGGTGGGTGGTATAAGTGTAGATAGAGTGAGAAGGTCACCAAGCAGGCTGCTGACGTTACTGTACAGCATAATATACGTGAGAAACAAACAGCCACCTGCCTTCAATAAGAAGAGGACGACACTGATCTTCAAGGGGGGAACCCCTCATATCCTAGCAATTGGAGGCCAATAACAGTTGGTTCGGCATTGCAAAGGCTTATGCACAGAGCATTGTCGAACCGCCTGAAGACATCCACGTCCTTGAACGTAAACCAGCGCGGCTTTACGAACGAGGATGGAACGCTAGCCAACTCCATGATTCTGGACACATATTAAAGAGAGGCGAACTGCTAGAAAGGAATACTGCGTAGTGTCGTTAGACACGAAAGGCGTTTGATACGGTGAGCCATCATTCCGTAATTAGGGCAGACTAGGAATCGATCCAGGAACGGTGCAATATATCGCCAGTCTTCTGGCCTCCTCATCAACGACCATAAGGTCTGGTGCACTAGAGAATTATGGGTCTGTTGGGGAGTTGAGCAGGGAGATCTGCTCAGCCCCTTTCTTTTCAACGTGGTTCCGGACGAACTCATAGAGAAACTGAACAACAGGGGTCATGGCAGTGCTTACATCACTGAGGGTGTGATAGTATCCGCCATGGCCTTCGCTGACGATCTAGTTCTTCTGGAAGAAGAGGCTCGCAACATCCATCCCACACTAGCCGTGGTAACGGCTTCTTTACCTGCGTGTGATGGTTCTATGTATGGCGATGAAGCACCATCAAAAACCACAGTCTATCGCTGGTATAGTGAGTACAATCGTGATCGTAGTTCGGTCGCCGACGAATGCCGAGAAGGTCGTCCAAAATCGGTAGTTGTGCCACAAAACATCGAAGCAGTGCGTGAACTAATAATGCAAGATCATCATGTGACATATTGTGAGCTAGAGGCGTCCTTGCACATCAGTTCCACTTCAATACATTCGATTCTGCATGATCACTTAGTTGTGACAAAAATTACTCTCATTGAATACCCCATAATTTATCAGTCGCCTAAAAAAAGGCTCGCGTCAAGTGGTGTAGGAAAATGATTAAATAGTACTATCGACCATGTGGGTATTTCAAGAGGAGCTAAATCTAACAAAAGTTGTTCGTGGGAGGAGTAAAACGAAGCAAATAGTGGCCTGTTTCTTCTACCGAATGTCTCTTTCTGCGTGGGTTGCAACAAACCAAACAAGATGATGTTTTCCGCAAACTGATCCTCTCATTTTGTACCAGTCAAATCTAATTCTGAAAACCCTTAGCTATCACTTCTTATATCATTTGAAAGAATTACGAATAATATCGTATCAATATATTATTCATTATGGTGGATAAAATAGCAACAATCAAATGAAGAACCTTATTTTATTAGATGAAGTCATTTGAAAACAAGTTCAATTTCGTGAATTAGGACAAGATAAAATTTCCAGTACGCCTCTGTCATAGACACCATGTCGCAAGTCTGGCCCTGAGTCACAGAACACCTGTAGTTAGGGTGTTCTGTGCCTGAGTAATCCGCTTTTCAAGATGGCGTCTTCATACTTTTTGAGATTAAAGGCGACATCGTGGAGTGTCCGTGCTGATTGTTAGGTATGCTGTGCTATCATCTTTTCAACCACTCAGACAATTTTCTCACCGGTAGAACTCTCGCTAATCAGGACCAGGCAAAAACTTCCTTCGTCTACTTCATCCCGAGCACGAAACTCAAGGACAAAGGTCAAAATATTCGGTTTTTTGGTCATTTTTTGGATAAAAACATTTGTGAAATAATTATCCTCATTTCACCACCGACAGGATTGATAATAATCTGTATCGTTATGAAAAATCTGTTTCATAATGGATATCATTATGAAACGGATTATGGTCATATAAGTGTATTGTTAGAGTACGGGTGTAGAAAAAGTGGCTTTAGCTAGTCCACAGGTCATTTCCCTTTGTACAAATCACCATATGTCCCCTACCCTAAAAAATGACCTTGCTCGCCCGACAGCACTTCAGAAAGACACAAACGCCATTCTGGAATATTCCCATTCACCTTTAGAAAGTTTCACAACTTCTCGAACGAAATCAAAGAGCTTTCCGCACAATAACTACCTCTTTCGTCGGGCACAGATTTATGAAACTTCCTGCGAAACTTCAGAGGAACTCTTTGTTCTTTTTGCCTTCCATTGTAGTGATTCAAGGACTAGTTGGCAGTTCAAGAACCTGTCGAGACGTCTTTTACGAAACAAGGTGGCAGAAATAAGGACAGTCGAGATTTTATTCGTTTCAAAGGCATATTGCACTTCAGTTTTATGAAATTTTCAAACGGCTGCGTCATTTCTCTGACGTATCTGACATTTTAATATAGCAGAGGAATTAATTTCAGAATATCATTCATCATCAAGGACAAAACACAAGAACTACAGGAAAATCCTTAAGGAGCTCTCAGAGCGGTGCCTGTGCGAAAGTAGCGATTCACATTGGATTTGAATTGCTGGAGATTAAATCTATTTGGAAAACGTTCTTAGGCAGTTTATTCTACATGAACGCAGTTTTCCAAATGGAAGAGTTCTTAAACAGTGAAGTTCGAGGTGTACTGAGTTGAATCTCAAAACGATAAGCAGCCTTAATCCGTCGCGTATTTCTGATATGTACCGCTCTTGGTGGAATCAAAAGAAACTTTCGTGAAAGTATCTATAGAAGAGATACAAATCCCTTACCTTTTTCCCATGTTCTAGATCACCGTTTTTCAACGTGTGGGTCGCGACCCCCTGGGGGGTCTCGATGCTTCTGTAGGGGGGTCGCGCAAAGATAAAAAACTACCTAATCGGCAGAAAACTCCAGCAGATTTTCTTTGAGCTTTGTTAAATTCGCTTCATTTATAGCTACAGTTAAAAATGAATTCATAGCTCCAGCTTGGCTCAGTGTTTCCGATATCTCTTGCCCAGAAAAGTAATGACATAATTCTTCTTTCAAATTATCTAACACCGTTTTCATACCAGGTATATACTTCTTGATGTTTATATCACATCCGACTTCTTCGATTTAAGACTGTGTCGACGAAATTGAATCGAAGTTGTTTTAATTTATAGAGAATGACCACAAGTCAATTTTCTTTGTAAAGCCATGCATTTTGTCTTTTGCAGTGATGACATTTTCATCTCGCCCTTGAAGACTTTTATTCAAGATATTTGTATGGTCAAATACATCAGAAAGAACAGCTAATTTCGAACAATTTTGTCAGTAACACCTTAAATGTAGGAAAGGAAAGTTTTGTGGGGAACTTTGTTGTCTTTTGGATCTCTGGGACTGGATGGAGAAGTTTATTGACGTCGGATGGATCTGTCAATTTGATGGTCTGTGAATCCATTTTGAAAAAGAGCTCTCTTGAGTTGAGCCAGCTCTTGTGGTTTGTTGCGGAGGTCTGTGAGGTTGATAGATCTGTGGATTAGAGAATGCAAAACGTAGTTGGTTTGTGCTGGATAATGGTGGGAGTTTGCGTTGAGGTATCTATTTGGGCGTGTTGGTTTCCTGTAGACCGTGTGGGTGAAGGAGTTATTGAATTTTGTGATGGAGACATCTAGGGATGGAAAAGAGTTATTGGTCCAATTTCCATTATGAAATTTATATTTGACTGTAGGTCGTTGAGGTGATCAAAGAAATTATGGAGAGTTTCGGAGCCGTGGAGCCATATGACGAAAACGTCATCTACGTATCTGAACCATCAAGAGGGTTTGTGATCGAACGTGTCAACAGCCTTGGTTCCGAAGTCTTCCATGAAAAGGTTTGCAAGGACTTGTGGAAGAGGAGAACCCATGTGGGCGCCTTTTACTTGTTTGTAAAAGGTACCTTGGATGAGGAAGTATGTGCTAAACATACGGTGACTCATGAGGTTGAGTTCCTTTGGGAATTTGGTATTTTGTTTCGAGAATGTTCAATGTATCTGATATTTGAAGTACCCGAGTTTTACCTATCCAATTGATGTTGAAAATGTGAACCTGAATTCGAGAATAAATCAATAAACTTTAACATAAGAAAACAAGAGAAAGTGTACAAACGGGAAGTTATTCAATTCCATTTGGTCATTCAGTAAATGGCCCGAATTCTTGAAACTATTCATTCCTAACTATTCTAAAATATTCAGTTCAAAACTTTTATCTTCTGAATGTAACACTTCATTGTCTTGATGGAAGTCATCTGTTTCTGTTAAAAGATGATTTACAAATGTAGAAGCGATCTTTACATACAAAAAACTACTTCAATGCTCTTTAATTCTTTGGGAAAAAGTTCTCTCCGTTTGGCCAATATCAAGTTTTGGGTAAGAGTCTCGAAGTTTTGTCTTTATTGTTTTTGATACATTTATTCCAATCATTATTTGTTATGCAAGACACGTTCAAGCATTCCTGTTTTCAAAAATGAGTGATGTCATCATTAGTTAATATATACACGTCTGAAGAAGCTATTTATAGCGAAACACGTGTTGCGATTTTGTAAAAGTGTTTATTGAAAATCTCTCAACAAAGTGTTCCTTGGAAACACCTTTATCGTTGCATGTTTCTGCACCAAAGTTGACACCATCAGAATAATTCATCTCGTTATGTATACCGACAGCAAGATGTATCCGCATTCAATTTTCCAACTTTCCGGAATTGTAATGCAAAAAACGTATAGCGCGGAAACATTATTAAAACTTGGCGTTGATGAAGTATTCCTCGAATTCAACCGAATAATTCGGGAGAAACAATTCACAGTTATCTCCGGGAAAACTCCGGCGCCAGAACTCGTTTACACTCCCGAACAAACTTGGATTAGTTTGTTCGGATAATTGGAAATATTCAAATTATAGTCGTGTTACCAAAACCGAGTTGTTCGACCGTTTTTGTCCAGTAAGGCAAGTTTAATGGGAATTTCAGTGAACAAGATTTTTCAATTTTTGTATTTCAGGAAAGGACCTACCTTTGCGCAGCTATCAGCTTGGAATTAGCAATCAGCACCTTGTTCTACATCAGCCGTGTCCTAATTCTTCCCGGTTTGCATCCAGATGTTGTGCTCATAGTGTTCTGCGTTCGCACTCAGCTGACGCAAACGTTGGCGTTAGCATTGATTTTCTTACCAAAGTTCTGGTATCAGCAAAAGCAAGTCCGTAATTTGGCCCAAGAGTATTCGTGCAGGCTTCCTGTGGATGCTTTCAAAGTGAGTTCCAATTCATTTTAGACTCGCATCTGACATCGAAAGTTGTGTGCATCCCATTTGAATATTAATTAATTTATACAACTTGAAAAGTAAATGCTAAATGAAACAATCAAAACCAACACCAGCACTAAAAACTAACAGACATACAAGGCATAAATTTACTCGCATAGACTAAATACTTAATTGACTGCGGACTTTTTGAAGACACCCAAATGGTGTAAGTGAAAAAATCAAGTTAATGCATTAGCTTTCGTCAACATTCTTGACATTGGACTTTCGAAACCATGATTGATAGAATGTGGGTTCTTATTAAAGGCAGCTCTATCATCCCTTGTTACTCTTTGCTTGACTCTCAGACCAACCAAAAAGAGAAGTTCTGAGCAACTAATTTGGCCAGACGAACAATTAAAATAAAAATATTAGGTCAGCCTGAATGCGTCTGTTTTTCAATGTGGTTAGATGTAATGTAGGAGGAAGATCTGTGTAGTTATGTCGCTGGTCCATTTGAACGACCATTTCGTAGACAGCACTACGCAAAAATTCATTTTGAACCTTTTTCCAGTGACAGCACACTAAGTAAAAAGGGATACCACACAATGGATGTATACTCTAAATGTGACCTAATTAATGAATAAAACAGAATTTTCATTATGCTTACCGATAAGTCTTTAGCGATTCTACCTACATATCCAAGAAGTTTGAGTGATTTCTAGGTTAGGTTATCAATATGGGATGAAAATGCCAATTTTTTATCAAATATTACACCAAGATATTTAACTTCATAGAGACTACTTATCATTTCGTCCTTCAAAAGCTTCAATAACGCTATGCAGTAGTTGCTGTTGATGGCTTTCCTTATTTCAAGATATTAGATGAAAATTCACACCATGTGCATCCCAAAATACTGATACTATATCCTTGCCAGCCGACTGTTGCGGCTTTGCACGCTTTGGAGTCGGTTCACCACGTCTAGTCCACTCAGATAGATCCTGGTGTGAAATTATGAAGCCATGTTTCATCCGCTGTCACATATTGACGCATAATTTCGGATTTTTTTATGGTGGAACAAACACTGCTCAAAATCATCAATTCGTTGTTGTGAACAAAGTTTTAGCACGTCCAAATATTCGTGCAGGATATGTCCAACACGATTCTTCAGAGTAGATTCACAATGGGGGTCCTGGAACGGAAGTGGCAGCCATGTTGTTTTTATTTAAGGCTGCACCCTGGGGCGGAAGTGACTTATCATCCAGTCAACCAATCAGAAGCTACCGCGCGCACAGCGGGAAATTCAAGTTCCATAAGAGGTGAAAGACTGAGCCTCAGCTATGTAGATCAACTTCACTTTATGGTCATCCAAAATTATTTTGTGAATATTTTCGTCGGTAACAGCCTTTTTGGAGTGTCTACTGCGTGCATCGTCCTCATTTCACTTCGTTTTTAACTTAGGAAACCACTTTTTAAAGGATGCTTTTCCTGGTGCAAAGTCCGAATAATGTTTATGTAACCAAGCTTTGGCTTAAACAATTTTTTTTTGCCAGAAAGCAATGCTTTTTCAACACATGAAATTCCTTATTTATTTTTTTCAAATTAACAAAAGTTGCTGCACCCAATAGGTTTTATCTCACACACTAATAGTTCGACAGCTATGAAATTTGTATGTGTCTTTTGAAGGTTAGGGTTAACTAAAAATCATATGGATTTGGTATTAGTGGCGCCATCTGTTTGTTAGCCTACGAACTTTTAAGCTCACCATAGTTATTTATGAATCTGAAATTGAAATGGAACGCGGGAATTTCAAATTTCTTTGTGACCATCTATATATGATATTACGTCGTTGTTAACTCTTTCAATTGTTAGTACTCTATAAAAAAATAATTGAAAACTATTGAGGCAGATGAAAATTTCATCAGTCACAATCGTATTCGTATATGGAAGAACTGGATTCACATCTACAGCAGAACGGAAATGAAACCGAGATCCTATTAGACTTCCTCGACATATTTTCCGCTCAGTATTCAGATACGACTAAGCAGGAAACTGGATTTCCGATCCACTCTGGATATCCCATCGCATGTTACGAGTTGAGTATAAGCCCGTAAATTCGTGAAGCTTATATACCGTAATCCTGTCCTATGGAAACATAAACACCATTATCTTTTACGAAACAACACTGTAAACAGCGAGAAGATTAATATATTTCTGTAATCCTTTTCGTTGTCCAAGGAAGACCAACCGATGATAGAGGATATGCTAGAAAATATAGTTTTCGACGTTGGTGACTGAATAGGTTTCAAAGTTGTGATAGTGAAGTATTGTTAAAATAAATTTGTGTAAGACAGTTAATTCTTTAATTCGTTACAATATAATGGAATGGAATGAAATGAAATGGAGTTGAAAAAAAGTGTTTGGAATGGTGTCAATCAGAATCGGTTCTGCTTTGCATGGGCTGTGACTTCAGTCTTTCATCCTGAAAATGTGGGAATGTGTTAAATTTCATCATACCCTCACTTATCCATCGTGTTGAAAATAGCAGGTATGAATTTTCCAGTTTGAAGATATTCCTATATTTGAGATTATGAATGATTGCTCCATCAATGGTTATGGTTTAGAATATAGTTTCAAAAATGGTAGAATTCAATAAGATGTTGTAGGCCCGTTACACTATTCGAAACGTAGACTTAATAGTCACGTGAATCTGCTAAATATAATGGATGATTCTTGTAACAGTCATTATTGTTGGATTAAAGATTTGTCGAGATCAGCATCAACCCAAATATCTGGACACGATCATAGAAAGTATTTCTGTGATGCATACCAGCGCATACAAATGAGCCGAATCCTGCTAATCCTTATACAAATTGAATCATGAACCATACGCTTTCTCATATCTCATAAAGAGCTCTTTTGATGATGCTATTTCTCAATTCATATTATATAGAGGGATCGATGCATCTGTAATGTTTGTTTCAAACTTGGAAGCTGACGTCACCAATATTTATCACAAATATTCGAAAAATATCATTCCAATGAACCCTTTCACTGTTGAGGAAGAGCATGATGTCAATAATGCCACTACTTGTGGTATATGTGGAAAGACATTCGCAGAGGATGATATTAAAGTACGTGACCACTGCCATCTAACGGGGGAAAAGAAATGGAGTTACACATTCCGTTTTTAACCTCAACTTCAAATTGCCCAACTTTATTCCTATAATTTTCCATAATCTCAGTGGGTATGCCTGTCACTTGTTCATTAAAGATTCTTGCACCAATAAAAGTAAAGTTGATGTCGTTCTCAAACTAAAGAGGAATATATTTTTCACAAACATTTATTCATTGAAAACAANATATTGCCGCCACATGTGGTATATGTGGAGAACCATTTGGTGATGGTGATATTAAGGTGCGTGACCACCTTTTGAGGTGTTTATTGAGGATGTTTATGTTTACATTTATTACCATTTCTAATTTATTTCTGAGCGAGCGTAATGCAAACTTAAATTTTGTTTCGTTCAATGAAAAGGAGTCCATGACCACATGTCACATGACCAGTTTGTTCGGTTGTTTACGCTAACCTGACCTTACCCAACCTAACCTAACCTAACCTAACCCGACCTAACCTAACCGATAGCGTAACCAACCGAAGAAACTGGTCATGTGACAAATTGCTACACTCTCATTGGCTGATGTAACAGAATCGGCTTTGGTGATCTACTTATTTTCCATTTTTATCAACACAAGGTTGATGACCCTAGTCGCCAAACTGAAGGCACCAAAAAATACTCACCATTACTACTATTATTATTTCAGGACGGTAGTGTACATGGGCCACTCACTAGCAACAACAGTGACGTAGAAGTAGGGGAAGTAACTCTAGCCGACATGAATCCGGAGGACATCAGAGCGGAGCTGAAAAGACTATATCTGCAACTGGAAATATTCAAGAGCAAAACTATTTGCCGGGATAATCCCCACGTATCGAAAAGACGAGGTGGGAAGAAACCTCAGCATCGAAGATTCAGTTTGCAGGTAATAGATTTTGTTTACATAAACTATAAAAATATATTTAGTCAATGCTTGGGAGTGGGGACCAGCGACGAGACCTGGGGATTAGACAGATTGAGACCCAGGCGTCGAGTCACAATACTTTTACAGCGTGTCACTACCTGAGGGGTAGGCACATGGAGACCTCAATGTAGTACCTTCTTGAAACTAGCTTCCTCTTTGACTTTGAAGCTAGTTTCTGATGTTTTCAGTCAAACAACTGAAAACATCAGACACGGTTCAACCTGCCATCAAATCTGTATCATATGCATGGTTGATATTTATTCAGCAAATTATTTTTATTCATTAACTACAACATTTTCTTCAGAATTTGTTCATATATTTCAGAAACTTTGTAAAACTTGGTATATTGAAGTTTAATTATTAACCTTCTTTTCCAAACAGAAAAACTTCACGTAACACTTTGTTTAACCGATGCAGCTCGCTATTCAAATTCTCTATATTCACTTCGAAACGTTTATCGATTGGAATTGGAACTGCTGTCATTTGAATAGTGCACAGCTTTCGGTTGATTAATACCAGGTTTATTTTCATATCCTTTTTCCATCGATTGGTGCACACTCACAAAACCGTTTCATTAGATTTTTATTTTTCATGCAGAAAAAAGGAAGCAGAGAGAAGGTGAGTGCTTTTTATACCCGCTATATTCCGTTTGACCCAATTGAGAGCACTCATAACGTTGGAACGAGTGAACTAATGATACCTTGAGCACGGGTGCCTCCAGTAAACATTTCAATGACAATTAAAACCGTCATTGTCGAGTGAGTGCATGTAAGAGCATGTCCAGAATTATTATGAGGTTGGTAGAACATGCCGAATTTCGTTAGGACTTTTTCTCGTCTGTTTCAATTTAATGCGTTCAGAATGGCATGTCACTGAATTTTACTGGTACAGGGTGTATTATCTGAAGCGCTCGTTTCGCTAACAAAGTAACCATCATCAGGAGATGTAAGACTAAATTTAACAATCATATTAATGTTTTTATATGCATCTAGACAAATCATTACCTCATTAACGAGGGTAATTTGTTACTGTTCCTATTGTTATTCATTACATGATTGATACCTGCCAATGGTAACAACGCACGTAATTAGATGTAGAAACCAGGTGAAGATTAGAATTGATTTTTGTGCGAAAATCAAAATATTCTTTGAAATTGATACTTTTATTGTGAAGGAAGGAGCAGTTGCGATCAGTCAGGAGATTACATATAATGATACTAATATTTACCTACCAAATCTTCTTAGAATTAATACATCGATTATTAAAAAGCATAAAGGTACAGTCATAGATAGTGAATAAGTGGAAACGATTGCCACTTAGGTTCACGAAGAATCTGTCTGTGGAAAGAAATGTTTTTTTTTTTGTTTCGTCTTATGAGAATCATGATTATTCTACCTTATCAGTTTACAACCTTTTATTGAGGAAATAATTAATTTCTAAATTCACTAATAAGCCTATGGAAAGATATCGAAACGATATTATTATTGGATATTGTATAATATAATACAGATTGACTCAAGTCTTCACCGGTGCTAGTCGATAGATTCTATTATAGCATAGACAATGGAAGTCCGAACTAGTGAAATATATATATATGTCATATATGTTTTTATTGAAATGGTTCAAGACTATATGATTTGCATATAATTTCAGTTTGCCATCTTTATTTAGTTTTAATATTGAATCATTCTCTCAAGAAATCATCGGGAATCGATTATTTAAAAAGTCTACATGGAGAGTTTGTCGAAATTACTTTTGTAGCTAGGTTGGCACCACTGTCGTCTTCTATACTCACGAGGAGTTTGAGCGCCATTCGTCATTTAGTGTGTTTCCAGTACTCAATTTGTTGATTGACCTAAAAGGTGTTTTGCAATTTTTACAATGGATAAAAATATCGAACAAATCATTTGTTTTAAATTTTGCATTGCAAATGTAATTTCGCTGAAAAAGTTGCCTAAGACTTACAGTGAAACGAATTTATAAAAAATTGTTAAATAATAGTTCTTTTCGAATCAGATTCTATGTCACCTGTCACTCCCGCCTGATGTGTGTGTGTTTGACGGATGAAGATTAGTTATAAAACAAGTATGGCCGAAACTGAATTCAAGAAATTATTTTGATTGTTAAGAATATACGTTTATGTTGTTGAACTTTTGTATAGTAACACGTTTTTGCCAAATAAAATCAGTGTAAATGATTCACGCCGTTTATTTAACAAAAATACTTCCGTATGAGTGGTACAGTGCATTTAAAAGTGATCAAAATGTGGTGAAAGATTTGCCTCGCTCTGGTCGGCCATCAACATCCCAGCTGAACTTATCATGGCTAAAGTAAAGAAAGTGGTGACTGAAAATCGTCGTTTAACTCCGATATATATAGGTGCTGGAATTTCGTATCATTTTAAACGATTTTTTAGGCATAAAATGTGTTATTGCTCGACTAAGGCCTAACTATCTGAATTTTCTGAAAAAATTCAATCACGTGGTCGATGAAAACACGTTATAACGAGTTAATTCGGACCCCACATTTATAAAACGCACTGTAACTGATGTTGAGACATGGGAAAAACTGAAGTTAGTTTTTTCATCACCGCGGTGTTGTGCACTCAGAATTCTTGCCAAGTGAAACAGTGAATAAATACTATCTAAACAGTATTCGCCATTTGAGGGAGCAAATTTGTCAAAAATGACTCGATATGTGGAAAGAAAACTCACGAAATTTGCATTGCGATAATGGTCCAGCTCTCAAGGCTATCACTGTGAACTTATTTCTGGACAACAAACCTTATGGAACAGCCACTGATAAGGCTCCGACCGATTTCTCGTTTAAAGTCGAAAGATGATATAAAAGACAATTTGCAGAGGGTACTTAAGTCGATTATAAAAAAAGGAGCAAAGGATCCAATGGTACGCTACGTTCCCGATGCCTTCTACGTCGGCTACAACTGTTGGTTGAGGTATGACGATTTTTCGCTCAAGACCGCGAAGAAAAAATAAGTGCTGAAGCCCCAGGGAACGCGAGTTCCTTGTATCAACACACTGGACACCTCGTGGGGGCCCCCCGAAGGATTCCGAGAAAGAAGCTCCCGTTTCTCCCGGCCAAACTTTTGGGAGTCATGGAAGATTCGACGGAGCAGATCCAAGACATCCTCAAAGATTACCCACTGATGATCAGATAGTGAACAACACAAAGCCTAGGATACACTGAAGCCTCACGCCTCCCACCCCAGACCTGCACCTGCACCCGGGAAAATCAACCACCGCAATGGACCCTGACCACCCGAATCGTTAAAACCAACTGATAACTTGGATTGAGTTAGATAAACTAGATTAGGATAGATAAGAATAATAGCTTGTGAATAAACTGCAACCCTGGAGAGGCATAAGCCAATAGCAGGCCCCCCACAACCAATGTAACAGAAAACTTATGTTAACTAACTACGTTCGACAAAGAAATAAAATCTCCGATTGAGAAAAATCAGCAAAACATGGTATATCCTTCGATACCACGGTCTGCAGGTGATCTACTTGAATAATTTCAGCATAATCCTGCTGCTAGATTTGCATAATTCAATTTCCAGCGCGGTATTAGCCGAGAAAGTAGTTCTTTCCCGACAGACGTTTACCACACCCTACTGTGTAGGTAGTTGGAAGAGACTAATACTTCTAAATTGGTATCGTCTGCATAACACACTATTTTTATATCGTGGTTTCTTTCCATTAAACTGATTATATTATTTACAAATATATTGAACAATAAAGGTCCCACTACAGACCCTTATACCTCGATTTATTTCACAGAAACTTCGTCAGGGGGCGTAGCTGTCTGTCTCGAAGCAATGCTGCCACCCCAAGTTTTTCATTCACTTCATCTTTCAACAAAAATACTTTATACTAGTCGCCTCATATATTTCATAGAACTGACGACCTCGTTGAATCCGTCCACATCCAGCCTGGTTACTGGCGTACGGTTCCCCCAGTCCTCTCATATTTCACTTCACTATCTATTCGAACCCACCTTCATTTTGGATTACACTTTATTTTAAGCTAACAGCACCACCGCCCTCTGTGGCGATCGAAGAAGTCAGATTCGATGACTGAAAAGCATTTTCACATATCTTCTGTCATTTTTCATACGTCAACAGAGGGTTTGTCAATGTCAACTGTCACTTTTGAAGAATCAGCTACTGTTGCCAACCTCTCAGCGTGAATTGCTGTGCTTTGTGTGTCTCATTCAAAAGTTGAAATGTTACTGTTTTCGACAAGATCCGTTACATTTTTTTGAGCAGGAACAACACTGTCTCAAAACCAGAAAAGGATAATGATTTCTAGATCAGTGCAGAAGCCTGTTAGACATGCAAGAAAGGAAAAAACTACTAAGAGATTAAAAATAATTAGGAGAGGAAAAATGAATGAAAGTCAATGAGGTGAATTCGAGGGGTGAATAATAGTTTCTCACTATTTCCAATGAAAGTGGATCTCCTATTGAAAAAAGGCAAACACAAAAGTTATAGGAAATATAGAGATCTACAACGAATTCTAAAATATTTTGTTTTTTCTGCCAAAGGAATCATTTGTTTTCTACGAATTCTGCTGGAAACTCACCTTTTTGTGTCACGAATATGCTGTAATTTATTTAAATGGAAATAATCAGTGAAACATTCGATTTCTATGTTAAACCTAAAAAATATTTTCAGTCTAAAATACCCATATTTTAATTTTGCATTATATTTCAGAATCAGAATCAAAAAGTGTTATTACCTTAAGAAACAATTCTCTTTGAAGAAAGTCAAATAGGATGAGGTTATGGAACATTTTGGTATAGTTTGTTTTACAATACCTCAGTTCCATCAAAAATCTAGCTCTACATTTCCGTAAGATCGATAGATATAACTCAAATATTGTGTGATCATGTTTAGTTTTCCGAATTGACAGATTTTCAGTAATAGTTACGTATCGTGTCTTTCAGAATTTACATGGAAAACACAAGGATAAGGACCGAGACAAGCACAAGCACCAAGAAGAAGTCACTGAAGGAGAACCCTCAAGAACTCCGGAAGATTCCGTGTGTAGTAATGAAGGCCCCAGCGCTATATATGCAGACTTGCCCTCGACAACAAATTGAAATGGATTTCAAGAAATATATCTTACAAATCAAGTTTTTATCTATTACATTACATCAGAACTGACGGCGAATCGAGGTGAATCAAGTCCATTTCAAGATCAAAAGCTTTATTGCTTCTCTGTGGAAAGGAAATTTTGTTTCTATGAAAATTGGTTTACCATCATTTGCGTTTTGGTGTTACACCTATTTATCTCAGTTTGCTTTAAGAAACAGATAGAATCGTTTTCGTTTTTTTGAATGATCATATAGCTAATCAATATTTTTGGCTGCAACTCCAAACGGAGCTCGATACTAAGTCTTGTCACAGTATTTCTGTATACAGTAGTTTCACTCAGCATCGGTCCCTTTGATGTCGGTGTCCAGGAGTTTCATTTTTTATAATGATGACGTATTTGACACTAATGACATTTCTCCCTACTACAATCTCAACCAAAGCGTGTATACACTGCTCAACATAACAACTATTCATATAAACTGCTCAAAAAAAAACAGTCTATGAAAACCATGTTGGGCACCTGAGAAAATTGTACAAATGATAATTTTGCATTTGTGTAATATTGAAGTAACCCAGATCATTTGGGCNTCTTTATATTTCTCTAAAGGCAATCTATTTTGGTATCAATTACCGTGTATAGATGAAAAGGAGTTTTCGTCGACGTCAAAAATTGTAATTCTTCAGCTTTCATGATTTTGTAAGTAGGTTCCATCACAAATATCGTTCCAAGATCTCGAGTACACATAGGAGGTGCAATGAGAATTGTATATCCGGCTTCAGCTCCTTGATTTTAACAACACTTTTGAAAAGTTACCCACGTTATTACGAGCGAATATATTTATCATATCAACCAACTCTGTTGGTTCGATCTTCCGACGAGAGAAATTGGAATACAGGAATTTCAAATACATTTGTACACCTTTCATGAAACATCAGACAGTTGATGAAAACATGTATACATCAACATTGATGAAAATATATCACTCTCAAAAACAGCAGGGGATTAACTAAAAAGTGAAAAAGTAGGATTCATTCCGTCTTTTGTACTTTCATGTGCATTCGCTTTCTTGTTGTTATACGTCCATTTGCAAACCAAAATGTAGACATCCACATTCCCAATATTTAGGAATGGGGGACAGGATAATGATGGTTCAAAATCCTGCCGAATAATCCTTCATTTTTGACACAAGTATACAGTGTGTCCAAGATAAGGATCCTAAGCATGGGAATCTCAGTACCTGTTGGAGATACAGCTTAGGTTAAATTAGGAAGTTGTGTTTTTTAAAGCTTATTTACATGCCGTTTAGAAACTTGAAGAATTTTCATGGCCTGCTGAGATATTTGGGAAAAACGAGAATTTGACAATATCAATTTTATTTTTTTCTGACTTTATTTGAAAAGATATCAAAAAACGAATAACACTTTTTCATTGGCACTTTCAAGGTACTACACGATGGTATTTTTAGTTTTTATATCC